TTACAAACTTCAGAGAAACTAACACTGCTGTTCTGGATTTAGGTCTCTCAGACCACCATGGCATAATTGTAACGTTAGACAAGATTCTTAACTACGAATGTGAGTTTGATCAAATCAAATTATCAAGAAAACGTTTTTTTCCAGAGAACCAAATAGCTAGATTTCGACAAGAAATCCGCACTATAAATTGGCCCCTCTTACTTAACGAACCATCTTGTATAAATAAAAACTATGAAATATTCCAAAATAAAATAAAGACTTTATTAGATATATATTTCGCAAGAAAAATTATAAAATATACAAAACTTAAAAAACCCAAATGGCTTACAAAAGGACTCAAAATCTCATGTAAAAATAAAAGAATGATGCGTGTCTTAGTCAACCACACAAATAATGAAATAATTCGAAAATATTATAGATCATACAGAAAAATACTAAAGAAATCCATCATAATCTCTAAAAAGAAAATATTTATTAATCAAATGGCAAAATCTACTAATAAAACTAAAACAATGTGGCAAATTATAAAAACAAAAACAAACAAAACTAGAAATAAGAAACATAAAAATATACAATTAAATATAAATGATAAAAAAATTGAATCTCCTCACGAAATCGCTGATCACTTTAACGAGTTCTTTACTTCTATTGGAAAAAGTGAAAAAATAAAAGACAAAGACGGGAACCAAGCACAATCTCTCATTCGCACAGTAGTGGAAAATAGCATATTTCTAAAACCTATAGATGAAAAAGAGGTACTTACTATATTAAAAAATCTTAAAGGCACATATAGTTCAGGGGCTGATGATATACCCCCAATACTATTGAAAAAATGCGCATCTGAACTATCGATCCCACTGAAAAATTTAATAAATCAATCTTTCAGTGAAGGAAAATTTCCAGAACAACTTAAAATTACGATAGTCAGACCAATTCATAAAAAGGGCAGCATAAATGACCCGGGTCAGTACCGCCCTATAGCTCTATTACCCTCAATTTCTAAAGTTTTTGAGAGAGCAATGGCAGACCGTCTCTGTTACTTTTTAGAGAAATATAAGATTCTTGACAACCACCAGTATGGCTTTAGGAAAAGTCGGTCTACTACACTGGCTGTTTTCCAATACATCCAGCAGATATTAGGGTATTTTAACGAAGGTAAATACGCAGTAGGTGTTTTGCTCGATATGTCGAAAGCGTATGATAGAGTCGACCATAAAACTCTACTATCTGCTTTATATTGTTGTGGAATAAGAGGTATGGCTTACGAGTGGCTAAAATCTTATTTAAAAAATAGGGTACAGTATGTGCAAATAGACCATCTAGATTCAAAAACAAATGAATTAAAACACTACAAGTCAAAACCACAAACAGTTAACTGCTCAATCCCGCAGGGAAGTGTAATTGGATGTATACTATTCCTCATATACATAAATGAGCTCCCTAAAATCATAAACTCTCCCTGTGTATTGTTTGCGGACGATGTATCGCTACTTTACAAGTTTAAAAATGCTACCCAATGTCAAATAGAACTAAAATCAATTTTTACTAAAATAACAGAGTGGCTACAAGAACACAACTTAATATTAAATTACTCAAAAACTAAAATAATAGAATTTAGACCCTACCAAAAATCACCACTAAATGCAGAATTGGAAATAGATGGAATACGCTTAGAAAAAATTAGTACATGCTCATTATTAGGATTAGAAATAGACTCACACCTAAATTGGAAAAATCACATTAAAAAAATCAAATCAAAATTATCGCGATTCACATATGCCCTCTTTGAGTTAAAATTAAGTACGGATCAAAAAACAGCAACTGCAGCTTACTACGCTTATGCACACTCGTGGTTAAAATATGGAATCATCCTTTGGGGCAACAGTACGGATGCACCCGACCTCTTTATATTGCAGAAGAAATGCATTAGGATCCTCGCAAATATTGGTGGAATGGACTCATGTAAGCCGCACTTCATAAAGCTACGTATATTAAGCCTTCCATCGATGTATATACTGGAACTTTGTAAATTTATTAAAGATAATTGGATTATTTTTGAAAATTCGAATCCTATCTTGCGTCCCCCTAGAACTATCAATAAATACAAAATTAAAATACCTCAATGTCGCACAACAATGTATAGAGATAGCCCATATTGCACTGCAATAAGAATATTCAATAAACTACCAATAGTATTAAGAAAAGAAACAAATAAAAAAATATTCCTCAGAGACCTAAAGAACCTACTAATAAAAAAATGCTACTACAGCCTAAACGAGTACTTCAGTGACTTAAACTTAAATTAAAAATATTTTTGTATCCGTTACACGTTGATTACTAAATCAATCATTTAATTGCTAAGCCTAAATGGGTAACATGATGTACTGGATAATATGATAACCACATCTTGTATACATTCATGAAATGCAATAAATACATTTTGACTTTTGACTTTGACATTAGCAAAAACAAAAGAAAACTATGTGTAAAATGGGATTGAATTAAATTTTATAAAAAAAAATAAAACCGACTCCAAAAAACCTACACTAAAAAGTAGAATAATAATTACTAATTACTTACTTATTTATTAGGACGAATTATTAATATTTATGTAGGTATACCATGATTGATACTTCTGGAGTCGGTGCCAAGATTATGAAACATGTAAATTTTGCCTGNGCGCTCCTTGGTTTGACTAGTCAATCCTCAGGTCTGACTAGAAGTCTTAGTCAAAGCCCAAACATTTCGACCTTTGACTAAAGAATATTAGTCAAACCTAGGAGAGACTAATTTGGTCAGTCAAACGTCGAAACTGAATTTAATGAAATCGGGGTTTGACTAGTCAAACCTCAATTAAGACTTTAAACTAAACTACACTTCATTTTGATATTGAACTTATTACATAGACTTTACCGACCGGTTCTCTCTTTAGGTGAAGGTACGAGTACGAATAACTAAACTTGTTTACTGCGGTACTTTTTTAGTGTTTCTAAACCGATCTTGAAATTATTATTTTTAGGGTTCTGTACGTTAAAGGATTAAGGGTAAAAACGGAACCCTATTACTATGACTTCGCTGTGTGTCTGTCACCAGGCTGTATCTCATGCCTTTCCCAAAATATTTAGTTTTATAGTCACTTTAAAAATCATCCCCATTCGCCATAATACAATAAAAGAGTCGTACGGAACCCTTCGTACGTGAATCCGATTCGAACTTGGTCGGTTTTCTATAATTGCTGCCAGCCTCTGTAACGCTGCGTCTACTTTTGACCGAGTCTGCCAGTCGTTTCTAGGATTGACTAGGCAAAGCCCGAAACAGATTATTTTAGTTTCGACGTTTGACTGAACAGTTTAGGCACTTCTAGGTATGACTTAGTCAAAGGCCGAAATAAGAATTCACTTCGGGGTTGGCCCGAAGGCTTTGGTCAAACCTAGGATAGACCAGTCATTCCGCGAAGAGACTGCATATCGACCTTTGACTATGACACATACACCAAACACTACTTATATTCCAAACTAGCGGCCGCCCGCGACTTCGTACGCGTGGAACCCGTTTTACCCCCTTCATCTATCTTACGCGGTTTAGATTTTTTCATACTAATGTTTTTTCCTGCTAACTCCCGTTCCCGTTGGAATTTCGCAATATCCTGNTTTTAGTGTAGGTTTTTTGGAGTCGGTTTTATTTTTTTTTATAAAATTTAACTTATTTCTTGCTTTTTAGTTAACTAATTATTACCTTGATGTTACCACTGAAGGTAGGCAGTACATTGAGACCATATTCTTAATGTATATTATAAAAAAGTTCATCCCCAATTTTCCACCCTTGGGGGTGAAATATTTTCTTCAAATTCGCATGAAACCACCCTTTTGATAATACCTATTTAACAAAAAAATAATCGTTCAAATTGGTTCATAATCGGCGGAGATATTGCGTATAAAAAAGTTCATCCCCAATTTTCCACCTTTTATTATTAAATTTAAATGGGACCACCCTTGAGGTATTACCTATACGCTGAAAAAAGATTTGTTCAAATCGGTTCATAATTGGCGGAGTTATCGCGTAACAAACATAGAAAAAAAAAAAAAACATACGGGTCGAATTGAGAACCTCCTCCTTTTTTTGAAGTCGGTTGAAAAAACTGGTCCAAATTAGCGGACTCTCCCTTAGTAAAATAAGTATCAGATATTTCTTCTGGATTGCGTGAAGAGGGTTGTTTTGATATACATGTTTGTGATATATCTGAGATTTTTCCTGTTAGTAATGTTCGAGTATTTTTATTATTTATCACATCATTTTCCTTTTTATGTTCGGCTTCAAGGAAGAAGGTCAAGGTTGTATCATTCAAGGATATTAACTGTCATCATAAAGCCATTTAAGATAATGCTAAGATATTATGCTCACGACAGTTTGTTGGTCGTATACTAGGCTGTTTTAGAGGGGTGCCCGAAAAAGTAACATACCTACCTATAGCAAAACAGAGTTCCTACTATCTCGTATAATATTTGGTTGTATGTCGTAGGTAGGTGTTAGAAGCTAACTTAAGTGTCTGAAAAATTAACGTACTAAGATTTACAAGCAAAGTTTCATTCCGTATGAAGTACAAAATTAGTAGTAAAAGTTTCACGGTTCACGGTTTCACACCAGTTGCCTGCTTTAATCCAGCGGTGCTGAGAGAATAAGCTCAGATCGAAGTGCCGCAAAAATTTCGTTCGTTCGTTTCAGCAAAATGACGTCCACTGCTGGACAAAGGCCTCCCCCAAGGTTTTCCACAATGAACGGTCCTGCGCTGCCCGCATCCAGGCTCTTCCCGCAATCTTTACCAGAACGTCGGTCCACCTAGTAGGTGGCCTGCCCACGCGTCTTCCAGCCCGTAGTCACCACTCGAGAACTTTTCTGCCCCAACGGCCATCGTCTCTACGAGCTATGTGTCCCGCCCACAGCCACTTGGTTTAGCCACAAAAAGTATGTTAGCATAAACTAATGGTCGTGTTTGTTTGTTGCAGGGCTGCTGTCATGGGACTCTGGCGAGCATCAGGTGGACCTGGAGAAGGAGCTCTCCACCCTCACGGCGCAGGCACCCGAGGGGGAGGAGGCCAGATATGGTGAGTCTACATATTTATGTTTAGGAATGACGTCACTATCCCAGGAAATGCACACAGCATTTCCAAAAATTTTACCGTTTTCTCGGACAAATTCTTTTTGATACATATTTTTATATATATTTATATATATATATATTATATATATATAATATATATATTTTTATCTCTACAAGAAACATCGAGCAAAAATATTTTATTTGGAATTTTAGAACCTGTACAGACTGACTACATTGTTTATTGGGAGCCCTGGGAGGTATTGATAATATTTTTATCTGACGAAATTTTTACAAATTTTCATGCATGCACATAAAACTAAAGACAGTTTATCATAAAACGAAACACCGAAGTTTAACTGGTCCAAGGACTATGTAAATGTATAATTCGACACACATCAAGGACAAAGTCTAAACCTAGGACATCACGCGATAGTAATATGCACAAACTCCTTTATAACTATGTAATTCATTTTAAATGCAGAACAAAGACAGGTATTAGGTATTGTTTTTGTTGATTATTACGACATGAAAGTACTAATACAAATACAAATATTTTATTTAGGCAAACACACCGTTTACACCGGTACGCAGGACCGGTCTTTGTGGAAATCCTTGGGGGAGGCCTTTGTCCAGCAGTGGACGTCTTTCGGCTGAAACGACGACGACGACGACGACCTTTTACACATACACATTCAAATACAATTAACGTAACTAATTTAATAAACTTAACCAATTAATTAATAAAGTAACGATTACTAATAGTAATTACGTAAGAAGCTCACGTGATAAAATCTGCAAATTTTTAGACCCTAGAATCTCAAGAAAACGAAATTGATATTTACCTAAATGTGCGAACATTTTCCAAAAGGAATTTCCACAGGTTTTAAATTAAAACTTCCACTTTAGCATGGTCTTAATTTACGGCTTAAGTTTGTGCCGACTTATCCCTTACATTACAGTTACTAATTCGTAGCTTATTTTAGGATTAGGTAAAGGCAAATTAAATTAAAATCCTTTAGGTAAAACCTACTTTTTAGGTAAAAAAGATACAAAATACTCTAAGGCTGAGTTGCACCACCTTATTTTAACCGTAAAAATAACAATAATCGGTGCTTTTTGTTTGGAGTTTGACAGATTTTTGACGTTTGTCAAAGTTAAAGTAAGATGGTGCAACTCAGCCTAAGTAGCAAGCATGCTTAAAAGCAGTAAATCAAACGTACAGCGTTGAATAGAGCTCTGTGATTGGTTCGTGTGTCACCCTGTGCGTCCACCCGCACTGTGAGACCTCATAGTAATGTTTGTGAATAGCCCGTATAAAAACTTGACATATTGACCAGCATTACCTAATGAATTTACGGGGCTCCCCTAGCGGTGGCAAATCGTAATTCATTTTTATCTTCCTTGTTGCGGTAATAGGCTCCTTCGCTTAAAATCTCCACTTTATGACACTTTTACGACGCACTCTCTTAGATTATGAGCCTTTACTTAGAGGACTTGAATCTGGGTTAGCATTAATAATAAACAAGTTAAACACTTCAAAATTTTGGCGTTTAAAGATTCAAAGATTCAAAGATTATTTATTCACCGAGATAATGTGGTACAATAAAATATGTGGTCTTAAATTAAAAAGAGGTGCAGCTTATCTCACCAGCGTAGCTGGCATGTGAATTTGTGCATAAAAAATCATTATTATAAATTACAATTATAATTATTATATAGCTATGTCAATAATTCAATTAGTTAACAAATAGCTTTAGGTAATCGCATTACGATGCGATGGCTACGAAATATAGATGACAGCCAACGACTGTACTTGTGCTTGCGTGCTACAACCGATCCTGATGAAGTTCCTGATGCAGATTACCTAAAAGCAAAGGCCAAACTCATAATGACGATCGATTCATCGCTTTACGTCCATATCAAGAATGAGAAAACTGTCCAGGATGTGTGGAAACGGCTGAAATCACTCTTCGATGATTCCGGATTTCAAAGGAAAATCAGTTTGTTGCGACATCTAATTTCAATCCGATTAGAAGACAGCGAAACTATGACCTCATACGTGACACAAATAGTAGAAACAGCTCAGAAATTAAAAGGAACTGGATTTTCCATTACTGATGAGTGGGTGGGATGTTTATTGTTGGCTGGATTGACGGAGAAATTCACCCCGATGATTATGGCCATCGAACATTCCGGGATGACAATTAGTACGGACGCCATTAAATCAAGATATAATTGGATATGTAGATGCCGATTGGGCTTCAGATGCAGTAGACAGAAGGTCCTATACAGGATATTGCTTTATGTACTCTGGATGTGTAGTTTCTCATGAATGTAGAAAGCAGCAGACAGTTGCATTATCTAGTACAGAAGCCGAATATATGGCTGTCTGCGAGGCTAGTAAAGAAGCTATTTTTCTAAAGAACCTTTTATATGAACTTCTTAATAGAAAAAATTTACCTGTTCTGTTATACAATGATAACCAGAGTGCTAAAAAACTTACTGAAAATTGTATGTACCATAGAAGAAGTAAACATATAGATGTGAGGTTTCATTTTATTAGAGAAGCTGTTCAAAATAATTTGATAGAGATTGCATATCTAAACACTAAAGGAATGCCAGCTGATGTAAGTACTTACTAAAAGTTTGTGTAAAGTTAAACATACTGAATTTATAAGAAAATTAGGCATTGTGAATTTAAAGTAGAATTGTAGTTTCAAAGTTTATTAGTGTTTTTGGATTATTTTGCTAAGTGGTGGTATTAGTATTCATTGATATCAAAATATCCTATTACATAATAAGACAGTTGTCTATGCATTTGGTCTATTGTATTTATCTATGACTAAAAAAGAAATAAAAAGATTAGTCTGTGGAAAGCCACTCTCTGCGTTTTATTAAAGTGAAGCAGCAAATTGAACGCACAGCGTTGAATAGAGCTTTGTGATTGGTTCGTGTGTCACCCTGTGCGTCCACGCGCACTGTGAGACCTCATAGTAATGTTTGTGAATACGTGTGCAAAGACCAGATGTTTTAAAACTCTTGAATTATTCTCACTTGACAATCATAAAAAGAAGTCTAATAAAGTAACTTTACCTACGTTCCATACATCGATTTTTATTTTAAATCTATAACTGTCACGTAAAATGTGATGTTCCCGATGTTTGATGATGATTGATTTGATGATTATTAATAATAAACGAAAAGGTACCTCGCCGATCGACAGGCACGTCATTAATCACAGCTCCTGTACCTCCTAGTGATGCGATCAACACTCGATAGCATCATAATCAATTGCCAAAATTCTACATCTAATATTTATACAGGTTTTACTGTAATACTTAAAAAAATTGAGGACTATACTATTCAGAAAGATGTATGTATCTCTTTCACTTTATGATACCTGTGCAAAGCTTATAGGACTAGTAAGGATACATGCAATGCCAGACAATAAAAATAATTTATAAATAAATATTCACAAATTTTCACTAAAATAAAAACGAAAACACAAACTGAATCCGTACTGTCCCATCCCTATTTCGGGCCACATCATGGCGTTGACGGATATCTGACAAACGTATGAGCCATCAATATAACGGCTCAATATATCCTCAATGGTTTCACGTCACATGAGCGCTGTCGATTCGCAAACTGTGACATCAGGATCATTTGTTGCCTCTATTTTGGACAGAACTAGCTGTTCAGCAAATATTGGATAATACCGTTCAACATAATTGTGAATAATTTGACTTCGATTTGGAATGATAAGAAGACAAAGTCTCACAGCTTGTGTAAAGTCATAAAGCTTCTAGAAAGGCTGCAATAGGCTTTGGTATTACTTTAACCCTACCACTGCTTCGGGACAGTAAATATACTTACTTAGGCCAGTGCTGAAAAAAGCATCGGAAGAAACTTAGCCACCTAGGCACATTTAATGACATGCTTGCCCAAAGAAGCATGCAAAATACTATCATTTCTGAACTAAAATAGTAAGACAAGAGTTTTAACGCGACGTTTATTAATGAGTTACATTATGTACTCACGGCTGGACATTTCGGCTGCTATGCTGCAGCCGTGGTCACAAGCAGACTGGCGGCTCGCAGCGTCCCCAAGGAAAATATTACATGATTTAAGAAATTGCACAGTTCTGCTATTTTACCACTCAATTGAAAGCTTAAAAACCAAAAAGTAACAGTAATTTTTCAGTACCTTTCCGATGAAAATATTTCAGGCAACCCAATTCATATCCCGGCACGTTTTATCCTTGTCGTGCTCGCTTTTCATCTAAATCCCGGTGGTTTGGTGCAGCCTCTAATGCATTAGCTGGCCTGCATCCAGGTTGCGCGGTTGGATTTATGCACTGATCATGTTGGACTTAGACTGATGGGGCAGACGAGAAAGGATAGGTTTTAGGGGTTAGATAAAGAATAATAATATGGTAAATTGGGGCTGTGGGTAGAGTGAAGAGAAAAAGTGTTACCAAAATAATAAATGATTTTAACTTACCTACTTCCTATGCAAGACCACATACATACAAATTAATGTTTTCTGAAGAGCGCACCTGGTGCCTATAAACAAACGAACTCTATCCAGTTTAGATCCCAATGTCCGACGTAATTATTCTGGAGAAGGTTATAATTAATCTAAATAATAAATAAATAAATTATATCCTTGGATATTTATACTGCGTATCTAGTCCCAAACTAAGCAAAGCTTGCAAGTAGCTTGTGTATAAATGTCACGTCATTAGATACACTGTGTATCACGTCGAAATAATGCCTCAATAGTGCTTCTATTGTCCTACATGCCCCAATCAATAGATTGCTAATGGTGCCCTCCCCATAATAGTTCCAGGTCAGAGGTCAGGCGCGCCTTAGGTTGCCTAGGCACAGATAAAATACTGCAGACCCACCCTCAATGTAGCTACAGTGATACTTTGCTGAATTGGATGGGATTGGGTAGTGTTATTTGTGAGAGCTTACCTAGATAGATAGGTACTCTATTGTT